ATATGCAGTGTATTATTTGTTGAAACTGTACTTTCGATTTGATTTGAAACTGTCTCATTGCTATATGTTTATCAATAAAACTTTGAAAAGAAAAAAAAAATTTGATGAAGACAAAAGGAAATGCATGGCTTAGCTTGAGGGTGCCCCTTGCCCCAACCTCACTATCCCTTTTTTATTGAGGTGGGGTCTCATTAAGTTGCTAAATTGTGGGGGCTGGGCTTGAATTTAGTATCCTTTTTCCCTGGCCTTCTAGAGTACCGGGCTTACAGGTACACACCATCATGCGTGGTGTAGTCTTTTATCTCTACAAAGTCATTAGAGATTTTCATCCTCTGTACTGGGGATTGAACGCAAGGCTTTCACACTGAGCCACATCCCCAGTCCTCATTTATCTTGAGACAGTCTGACTAAGTTGCCCAGGCTGGGATTGAGCTAGCAGTTTTTCTGCCTCAATCTCCCAGGGTGCTGAGGTTACAGGCTACACCACCATGCCTGGCATTAAAATATTTATTCTTTCAACAACATACTGTGTGCCCAACACTATCTCTACTTTTTCAGAACTTGTGTTCCAGGAGGAAAGATTTTACCTATGTTTTTTGAGGTAGAGTCACTGTAGTTCAGCCTTGCCATGAATTCACTAGACAGCCCAGGCTGGTCTAGAACCCAGTGACACTCCTGTGAGTGGGCATTATCTAGGTGAACAACTGACATAAATTAAAAAAAGACCTGAGCTGGAAGGAGCACAGCAGTTTTGAAGAATATTTTTTAAAGCAAGCATAGCTGGTATATAGAATAGTAGGAGGTTGCTAGATGCAGTGGTGCACACCTGTTATCCCAGCGCTCCAGAAGCTGAGGCAGGAGGGTCGCTGCAAGTTTGAGGTCACCTTGGGCTACAAAAGTATTTCAAGGTCAGCCTGAACTACACTGTCTCAGAGAGAGAGAGAGAGAGAGAGAGAGAGAGAGAGAGAGAGAGAGAGAGAGAGAGGAGAAGGGTAAGAAGAAGGCAGATGTAGGACTATATAGGGACTTAACAGGCCATGCTAAAGATTTAGATGTAATTAAAATATAGTGGGTAGCAA